GCTGCCAGTTCTCGCATAGTACAAGATGTATCCGCTCATCATTACTCACCCAGGTCTCAGATTTCCTATGTGATTCATTTCCAAGATTAAAATTGCTGGAGCGAAATTTCTCTAACCATGTAGGTTCAGTGCTTTCAGTAGACACATCCTTGCGAAAAATCTCGTTGATGTTTTGAGCTATTTGCGATGGGCTGGTTCCACAACAGAACTCATTCACAAATAACAGGATTTCTTAACTTATCGATGGCTTCCCACAAATTGTTCTAAAACAGGCAGCGTGAAAGACAACCACAAATCAAAACATGCGTTTGAAAGAGCAACGATGTATTTTCAAAAAAAAGAAAAAAAAAACCAAGATCTGTTCATGTGTAATGTTAAAGATATCGACTCTCAAATTTAGTATTTAGAAAAACCGGAGATTTCTTACTTAGTGTCTAATGGTAATAGCAACGTGAAAATTTATCAGGGAATAAGCTGTGGCCTCTGTCATTTTTTGTTCTCAGTCTACAGATCTCCAGTTTTGACACTGGAATTTCTAGGCACCGCCATTTACATGATTTTTTACTGTGCCGTTGCATCGGCATGAAATCTTCGCGAAATGAACATTTGAAACAGGGACAGAAGAAAAAAGGCCTCGTCAAAAGACGCATTATCCTTAACATAACTTGTAAACCATGTACTTACAATGAGCAGAGCAAATTATCTCGAAGAATATGAATGTCAGATAAAGTCAAATACCTCTAAATTTGCACAGATGCTGGATGTAGAGCTGAAAAAAAAAGACAGCTAGAGGAGAAATGTTGTGAACTGAGGGAACTAACTGTTTTATCATCGAGTCGAGTAATCATTGCACTTGCGGTTTTAGCCTTTTTAGCTGAGAAATTAAATAGATTTCGTTCCTGCAGTGATTTTCTATGCCACTTGTTAACCCTGTGTCTTTTGTTTCAGGCGGATTATGGTGATGCCTCGGCAACATGTTGTACAAAAAAAGGGCACACAGAAATGTCT